CCCTTTCTGATGGGCCAGAGCAACTAAGCTAATAACATTCTGACACGGACATGGTAATTGATCTACCTGAAATATTTAGAAGATAATCTCAATAGGTCTATATATCTAGAAGGAAAGTTTAGTAAAGGGTACTTTAAGTGCTTATCAATTATGTACTACTTTAGTAGGACTAGAGAAACTTGAGCTAGCTTAAAATGTTAAATTCTAGGCCTTTGAGTTGGAAAAAGGATCACATGCAAACTAATCATATAAACATTGGATATAGCGTTCTTCATTTCCTTGTGCTTTCAAAAACATTCAACATTATCCCAAATTTTCTTGATATAGCCTTTCCAGAGCATTCAGTGATAATTTTAACTTTATAATAATATTTTTAAAGAATTATGTTAATAAAATCTAATAGAGTATCCTTAGTTGCTATGTACCTCATTAAACACATATAGAATGTGTCATTTTTACCATTTCACATGATCATAAAACAATAATTGAGAGAAAATGGAATTTTAATAAAGCAATATTTGTTGAGTCCTTAATGAATATATAATTTTATCAAATATTTTTGTATAATTTCATCATTTCCTTCACATAAATTTTCAAAGTAGCAATTTTCATACTCTATTATATCATTTTGAGTAACAATAGCTCAAGTAACAAATTTTGTGGACACATTTGCATGTGGACACAAATTATGTGGATCATTTAACATCATAAAATGTTTATGATTTGGCGTTTTACTTAAATCTCATCCTGCTTGAATTAAAAAACTTAGTAGCTAGAAACCATGTTTTCTTTTTTTTTTTTTTTTTTTTTTAATTACGATCCAGCTATTCCACTGTTGGGTGTTTATCCAAAGAACTTGAAAACACCAATTTGCAAAGGTACATGCACCCCTGTGTTCATTGCAGCCTTATTCACGATAGCCAAGACTTGGAAGCAACCTAAGTGCCCATCAAGGGACGAATGGATAAAGAAGCTGTGGTATATATACACAATGGAATACTACTCAGCCATAAGAAACGACGAAATCCAGCCATTTGTGACAACATGGATGGACACTGAGGGTATAATGCAAAGTGAAATAAGTCAGAGGGAGAAGGTCAAATACCGCATGTTTTCTTTTTTACTTTGTTTTGTTTTGACTTTTTTAATTGCAAGAGTGTATATTCAAAACCTTATTAGACTTATAAGCTCAATAGGAAATTAAGCATTGCAAAAATATAATTTAATTATTTTGCTTTGCCTTATAATTAAAAGCCATTATAAGATACATTTCCATATCTGTTCATCAACGAGAACTGACAGATTTCAAAAGACCTAAAGAAATTATAAGTATTAAATTAGCCTTTTAAAGAAGTTACAAAGTTCTGCTCCTCCAAACTTCTTACAAAGAAAGCATTTGGCAACCTTACGCACATGGATAGCTCTGAGGCCCCATAAATTGCTCCAGTGAAATAATTAGTGCTCCAGTTACTAAAAGAAGTATGTTTAAGTAAACTTAAAATACTTTCTTGAGTGTTTAACAGAAGATAATTTCTAAAATCTATATAATTAGGTACTTATTATTTATTAATCATATTGAGAATAATAAAAATTTGTTAGGGGATATAAAACCACGAGTCTCTTAACTGGCTAAATAGAAATTCTTTTGGATCTGCCCTTTTTCAAGATGTTGCCTTTTCACGTAGGTAGTGAACTTAAGCCTAAGCAGAAATGGACGTTTTTGTTTCCATAACAGTTTATTGAATGCCTACTACATGCCTGTGCTGTACTAAGTGTTCTGACCACTTAGCTTCATTTAAGCTTTATAAAACCCTCTGCTTCATTTAGTCCTCATAAAAAGCACAATAAAGTAAGTTACTTTACAAGTGAGGTACCTCTAGCTCAGAATTTGGGTCATATTGCTAGTATAAATGGTGAGATCAGGATTCCAGCTCAGAACTCTTTCCAAAGCCCCATCACAATCATGACTCTATCTTTCCTGAAACGTGAATATAAAATATGATTTCATCAAATATTTCCAGTTAATCAAGTCTTATGGTAGAATCCTGTAGAAACACTTGTGAAATGAATGTTCAGATGTATTTTAATCATTGTTTTGTATTGTGTCATGGCTGTTCTGTGGATCAAATTGTATCTGGGGTTTTTGCCAAGGCGGTAGGATATCTATGCTTCTAATTTACATTAAGTTGGAACTAGCATCACTTTGTTACCTAAACATACTTTCCGTATCCAAATTTTGCCAATTGTCATAATACTGTTCTTTACAGTAATTTGTTTTTCCCTATCCAGCATCATACGTTGCATTTTAGTTGCCATGTCACTGTAGTTTCTTTTAATCTGAAAGAGTTTCTCAGCCTGTCTTTGTTTTTTATGACATTGATATTTGTAAAGAGTGCAGAATTGTTATTGTTTTTAAAGAAAGTTCCCCAATTTGGGTTTGCCTGATAGTTTCCTCCTGATATGATTTAGGTTACCCAGTTTTTGCAAGAACATTACCTGTATTAGTTTCCAAGAGCTGGTGTAACCAAAAACTTGGTGGTTTAAAACAAAAGAAATTTATTTTCACAGTTCTGGAGGCTGAGAGTCCAAAATTAAGGTGTCAGCAGGGCCACCCTCCTCTGCAAGCTGTAGGGGAGAATCTTTTCTTATCTCTTCCAGCTTCTGGTGGTCCCAGGAGTTCCTCAGCCTGTGACAGCATAACTCCAGTCTCTGCCTGCGTCTTCACACGACTTCCTTCCCTGTGTTTCTCGTCTTCTTACAATGGCATTTATTGGATTTAGGGCCCATCTGGTAATCCAGGATGATCTCATCTCCAGATCCTTAACTTCATTACATCTGCAAAGACCCTTTTTCCAAATAAGGTCACATTCACAGGTACCAGGGATTAGGACTTGCACATATCTTTTTGGGTCCACTATTCAACCCACTATACTGACTAAATGATGGTATGTCCTTCTCAAAGGATAATATCAGGATGCACCAAATGTAGACAGAGCTAGGAAATAGATTTTTCATTAAAGAAAAGATCATAAATTCAAACTGATACTCTAATTCAAATTAAATATTACAGTTTTTTTTCCTTGCCTTCCCACATCCCATGTTTGTATCTTCCTTTCACAGTGAGAACCCTAGCTCCTAACATTACCAAAATGTTTACTTATTTGGTCAACCCTATAACACAACAGTTTCAGAATTGCTACACCTGTATCATTACCTACAAGAAACTTGCCAAATAAGGTTCAAGGTTTCTTTGTGGTCGTTTGTTTTGTTTTGTTTTGTTTTGTTTGGTGAGGAAGATTAGCCCTGAGCTAACATCCAATGCCAGTCTTCCTCTTTTTGCTGAGAAAGACTGGCCCTGGCCTAACATCCGTGCCCACCTTTCTCCACTTTATATGAGATGCCGCCACAGCATGGCTTGACAAGGGGTGTGTTGGTGCGCACCCGGGATGCGAACCTGCAAACCCCGGGCTGCCACAGCAGAGTACGCGCACTTAACCGCTGGGGCACCGGGCCGGCCCCCTTTGTGGTCGTTTTTGTCTTCAACTGAAATAATGTAGCCAAGTTCAAAAGTTACTTGGATCAGTTCCTCCTCCCCCGTCTGTGTAGCTATGTTATCCACTATTCGGTTCATTTGTTTCTGTTTGTATTCAATTTTAGGGTTTCTTCTTTCATCCTTATTAGTCTAATTTTATTTATTTTTCGAATAATAACACTTTAACATGATTCTAAAAGTAAAAACTATTGAGAAAGTATACTTAGAGAGGTCACTCCCTCCCCTATTCATTCTGCCTTGTTCCTGCCATCTCCTGTAGGTAACTGATTTCATTAGTTCCTGATTTACCTTCCCTGTGTTTCCTTTTATAAATATAAGCAGATACATGGATATTTTCTTATTTTGCTTTCACTTTACATAAAGGTAGGATACTATGTATGAGTAGTCTCAGATGGGGATGATTTTGTCTCCTAGGGCTCAATATCTGAAGACTTTTTTGGCAGGGGGGGTCACTACTGTAATGGATGCTACTAGCATCTAGTGGATAGAGATCAGGTATGCTACTCAACATCCTGCGGTACAAAGGATAGCCCTCAACAACAAAGAATTATCTGATTCAATCCATAATGTGGCTGTGGAGAAACCCTGCTATACATCTACTTTTGCACTTTGCTTTTCAACTTAACAATATATTATGGAAATCACTCTATATCAATTCATAGACATCTTCCACGTCCTCTTTTACAGCTGCATAGTGCAGATACTATAGTTTATTCAGTCCGTCTCCTTTATATGGGGATTTAGGTTGTTTTCAATATTATGCAATTACAAATAATGCTGCAATGGGTAACCTTAACGCACTTTTTTTATTGGTGGTGGTATTTTTGGAAGTATATCTTCAGAGAAAATTCCTAGAAGTGGGTCAAAGACCAAATGATACGTTGGTTTGACAAATCCCTTCCAAAAGATTGTACCATTTTGCATTTTCACCATTGTATAAGAGTACCCGTTTCTCCATAGACTTGCCAGGTGAGTGAATTGTCAAGCTTTTGAACTTTTGCCAATCTGATAAGTAAGAAACTCAGTGTAGTTTTAATTTGCATTTCTCTTTCTATGAATGGTATTTTTTTTAAAAAAAAACATTTTTGTTCACATTGCTGGGTCAAAATCTAAAATTTTATCATTTTTAACCCAAATAATTTCAGGTAAAATACAGATGCAATGTTTATAAGATACAATAAAACAATTATGTATTTCTGTGCTGAAAATAACCAACTATTTCTTGTAGAAACATTTTTGTGGCTATGTATCAATAAATTTTTAAATGAACATAACAGTATTTTCCTGTCATGCCTGAGAGAGAAATATTCATCACCAGGTAATAAATATAATCCTGGAAATATGGTGTTTAAAGTCTGCTCTAAAGTTTTTTAGGTCACCAGGATGTTACATGGAGTAAACTAAAATGACTTTGCACTAGGATTCTCGTGTGTTTGGTGTTTTACAGGCCATACATGTCTCTTGGAAGTCTTCGGGATCAAGTCATTTATCCTGATTCAGTGGATGACATGCATGATAAAGGCTACACAGACCACGATCTGGAATGTATTCTACACAATGTCCACCTCTATCACATAGTTCAAAGAGAAGGAGGTATAAAGTCTATTATTCTTTTTTTTTTAATGCATTTAACTTTGTTTTTAAAAATAAACTTAGGTAAATAGACAGTGTTTTAATTTGAATATATGCTGTCGTTGGAACATTAGCACACAAGTAAAGATGGAGTTTACAGCTTTTATTGCTTTTCCGTTGTTGACATTCTCTTTTCTGCTTGTGTTATATTTCCTGCAGCACACTAGGCTTTTTATTAAGTCTGCTGCTAGCATTTGAAAACAGACTTTTTCTTTTCATATTTGAATGTACAAGTGTCCCTGAGGCCATTGTCAATTTAGATGTATGTAAAGTTCGTGACAGAAATATTCTCCTGTCAAGCGCTCAGCTTACATTAAACTTAATTTGAGAAGAAGGTGTCACGTATCACAGAACTTCTTTTTTCTTTTCAGACCCACAGTCTTACCAATACATTTTTTTCTCTCTCAAGCAGCACATAGAGAATTAGATAAAATATAGAAAGTTCTGTACTGTGGTTTTTTCAGCATAAGACATTTTTGAAAGAGTAGGAATAATGGTTATTCATATGAGCTTTAAAAAAGAATTACTTTCTAATAGTTATACTTTCAAATAACGTGATAACATATAACATGATAGCCTAGAAAAACTACTAAAATAACAAGCTAGAATTCTAGGTTTAATGTTGCATGCGTTTTAGGTTCCATTTCCTAGCCCATGTACCTTATCAGAAGAAGCAGAGTAGCACAGTGATTAAGAATGTGAGCTTTGAAGTCAGAGTTCTTGGAATCAAATCTTAATTAGCACTGCTTTCTGTATCTTCAGCTGTAAAATGAGGACAAGTATCTACCTTATAAAGATTCTGTGAAGATTAAATAAAACTCTATATAAAGCATTTAGAACAGTGGCACATTGTAAATGCACAAGAATTAGTAGCTAATGGTAAAATTACTAGTTGTAATATTGATGCTATGATACACTTTGTGTGATGGTACTTGATATTTTACATAGAAATTTCACATATATTATTCCATTTGATCCTTACAATAAGCAAATGAGGCAGGGAAGAGAGGTATTATTATATTTATTTTTATGGTGTTTGTAATATCGTAATTCATAAATGCTATAAATATAGAAAGCAGGTTTTCTATTTTTTTCATATGTTCAACTCCTTCCCAGTTTTAAAACACTGTGGCAGATTAAATGCTGCACTTTAATCTTGGGTAGGTTATTTTGAATAAGTTTGAAATCCAATAATCCAAATAGAAATTTATAACGAATATTGGATATTCTATTCTTTTAGAAGTTATCAAGAAGTTCTCGAACTGTTTTTAAGAATGTTCCAACCTTAATAATATAATAGTAATTGTTATGATTTATTGAGTACTTACTATGCAGAATATAACAAGTTAAGCAATTTACATTGTCATCTTATTTAATATTTATAATTGCCCAATTATGTGGGTTTTCCTAAGCTCTTTTTACAGATGAAATTCAGAAGTTTATTAACTTCCTCAGGGGCCCACAGCAAATGGTGGACCAAGATTTAAACACAGATCTGCCTTGAAAATCAATGTTTTCTAGTAGGCTGTGCCACTGTGCTATGCTATCCCTAGCTTCTTAGACACTAATAATAATTGTCATATCCTTACACATTAAAAAAATTCCAAGGAAACCTGCTTTACTTGCTTAATCCTTAAAACATGAAACTTTTTTGTGTGTGTGTGAGGAAGATTGGCGCTGAGCTAACATCTGTTGCCATTCTTCCTCTTTTTGCTTGAGGAAGATTGTTGCTGAGCTAACATCTGTGCCCATCTTCCTCTATGTTTTGTATGTGGGATGCCGCTACAGCACAGCTTGATGAGTGGTGCATAGGTCTGCACCCAGGATCTAAACCCACGAACCCCGCGGCCACCAAAGTGGAGTGTACAAACTTAACCACTGCACCACTAGGGCAGCCCTAAAACGTCTTTTTAAGTGAAGCAGGAAAGCACTTAAATTTGCGAGGACATCACTTACTTTGGAAGAATCCTACTGAAATTCTATTTAGACTATCTAATATTTTGCTTAGAGAAGTGCTTTGCTTTAGTAAAAGATAGAATTAAAAACTAGATTTCATTCCATCAAAGAGGTTATGAAATAGAAAGGAGTAGATGTGTTAACAGACATGAACTAAAGCGGTTTGTATGTCTCTATGAAGCAGGAAAACCATTCTTTTCTTAGCTGGCCTAAACTCACTAAATCAGCATCGGAGGTAATATTATGACTCAGAATTCTGATCTGTGTGTTCTGTGATCAAGTAATACTGCCTACTAAAACTTGTGGGTTTAGTGGAACATGATTTACTTAAATATGTAAAGCTAAGGTTTCCCTTGACCTAAATACTTTTCTCTTATACCTTCTCCATTGGCGGGGGCAAAAAAATTCTAAGCCCAGAATATTTCTCCACTGTGTAGCAATCTGAACCTATTTTTCAAATCCTCACTTATGTTTCATAAATGCTATAAAATTCAGTCACAGAGAAAATTTTATTTCAACAGTTTTCACTAGAAGAAATCAAACGGCATTTTGAAATTCTTTTCCTACTATAAAATTATAAGGATATATTTTTAAATAGAAAATTCTTGGATGTTTACCCAAGAAAATGAACAGTGGTCTCCACTGGGGATTATCATTGGGAAATAGGGAAAATCTCTTTTTCGATCTAGTGCACAAAAACAATGGAGACTCTACTTCATATTTTCTTTCCCTTTGGCCAAGTTTATTTAGAAATTTTAATAAAGGTGAAAATTCATCTGAGGGAGAAAGAAGAGGGCAAAGAGCCTGGATTTTTTTCCAAATGGGAAAATTAAGCCTTTAATACTTGGGATTTGGAAATGTTATCCTAAGTTTGTGTGTCAAGTTTTGGCAGTCATTTTCCTCTTTGAAAATGAGGCTTTGCCTAGTCTGCTCTGTTTTCTGATATTCCCACCTCAGAAAAATATTTGATATGGCTATCTTTCTAATAGGCCCCATGGTTTTGTTTTTAAGTGAACTTTTTTTCTTAGTACAAAGTTAAGTCATAACAATAATAAATCAAAAAATTTTCAAATATTATAAAAATGTGTACCTTCGAAAGTAAAAGTCTCATAATTTCATTCCATAAGGTGTGTGTATGTGTGTGTTTATAGAAATGCAATCATAATTTATATATACATATATGTGTGTGTATAAATCTGATATATAGGCTACACACAATATATAAGCACACACACAATTCTGCAACGTGGTTTTTCATATAAAAATATTCTGAGTACATTTCTATATCAGTATGTATAGATCTAACCTATTTTTTAAGAGAGGCCTTGCTTTTTGAATAAATATCCAACAGAGAGTCAGTGGTTAAGATGTTGTAAGATGGGCCGGCCCCGTGGCTTAGCGGTTAAGTGTGCGCGCTCCGCTGCTGGCGGCCCAGGTTCGGATCCCGGGCGGGCACCGACGCACTGCTTCTCGGGCCACGCTGAGGCCGCGTCCCACATACAGCAACTAGAAGGATGTGCAACTACGACACACAACTATCTACTGGGGCTTTGGGGGTAAAAATAAATAAATAAATAAATTATAAAAAAAAAAAGATGTTGTAAGAGATGGCATAGATAAACTATAAAAGTGTGAAGACAGACCTACATATAAATCCTAGTTCTGATGTCTAGCTGTGTAAACTTAGACATGTCAGTTACTCTAGGAATTTTAGTTTACCCACTTATAAAATGCAACTAATAATATCTAGCTCATAAGGTTGTGAATATATAGTGAGAAAATTCATATAAAGTGCCCAGGCACATGGGAGGCATTTAAGTTAGTTACTGTCGTACCCTTTGTAGACTTTGCAATAGGCCTATGCAAACTTATTGATCTTTTCTCCTACCACCCTCCAAAATAAGTATAAGTATACCACCTTTTTGTAGATATTCAGACACAAATAAATTTTAAAAGTGTCAGTTTTTAAAATTCTTAGAAGATGTTTTGTCAGTATCAGGAATTATTACCATTAAAAAATATAAAATCTAAAACAAAACGCTTATACATGAGGCTTTCTAGTTATCCAAGCATATGTTCTGTAAAATGTCATGTTCTTTGTGTTAATAAATTAAACCTGCCAGGAATCACTTGTCTGGAGTAAAAACAGTAACAATTAAAAAAATGCTTTGTACATTTTTTTTTTTAAGGATGGGATGCTGTTATGGACTGGAAAGATGTCCTATCAGGAGGAGAAAAGCAAAGAATGGGCATGGCTCGCATGTTTTATCATAGGTAAGTATGCTTTAGCCAGCCCTCATGGTCTAGTGGTTAAGATTCCGCACTCTCACTGCGGCAGCCCGAGTTCTTGGTCAGGGACCTACACCACCCATCTGTTGGTTGTCATACTGTGGCAGCTGCATGTTGCTGTGATGCTGACAGCTATGCCACTGGTATTTCAAATACCAGGGTCACCCATGGTGGACAGGTTTCAGCGGAGCTTCCAGACTAAGACAGATTAGGAAGAAGGACCTGGCCACTCAGTTCTGAAAAAACTGGCCATGAAAACCCTATGAACAGCAGTGGAGCGTTGTCTGATATAGTGCTGGAAGGTGAGAGGATGGCGCAAAAAGACCAGGCAGGATTCCCCACTGTTGTACGCAGGGTCGCTAGGAGTTGGAATCAACTCAACGGCACTAACAATAAAAGTATGCTATACTCAGGTAACTACTATTCCATTGTTGTAACCAAAAAACCTCATCTTTAGTTTAAAGATATCTGACTGAAAAACTAATGCTTAGAATTTACATTTTTAAGTTTCTTAAGTTGTTTTTTTTGTATGACAAATCTCCAAGTATTTTATTAATTTCTTTTATGTTGAGTAATGTTGGATGACAAAATTAAATTTTTATGTATCTGAAATTTGAAAGTAGGATTATTACTGATTTTAAAATGTGAATATATAACCACTATTATACTGTTGTGAGTTCAGTAGGTAGGCATTCAGTAATACTTCCACATTAAATTATTAAATTCAAACTAAATTAACTTTTCAACCACTCAGTAGCCTATTAAGCTTAGTAATGCTCTCTTCCTCGAAAATCAGAGGCATATCCAATGGAAAAAGCCAGCATAGGTCTTAATGGACTCAGAAAAATAGAGATGCAGGGAATAATTTCTCTCGATAAAACTTTTCTCTTTGCAACCAGCTTCATAGCTTTTGAGTTCAAGGATACCAAGCACAAGACACTGGAAAGAAATATTAAAGCAATTCTGATTTGTTCCTCTTATTTGTCCTATTCTCCTCTGAAAAAGAAATCTCTTTTCTTTATCTTAGACCTCTGGCGATGAGAACCTGAGTTGTATGCAGGGAAGGAGGTTATTGGGAAATGTGTTACTCATTTGTAATACTTATATCTTGCGCAAAAAGGACCAAGAGTCATGTGCATGAATGCCTGAATGGGCCATAAGCTGGGGCAGATGCAATACTCTTGAAGGACTTGCAGTAGAAGCAGTAATACTTTTATAGAGAACATTGAAAAGCTGATAAAAAGAGCAAAAAATATATATGTTAAGTGAGCCTCATTAAACACGTGGCAACTAGTTGGCCCATACTTAGCAACTAGTTGGCTATAAATTTTTTTTTAAATTGCGATCTGTGCAAAGTTGTTTTTTTCCTTTTTTGAGGAAGATTGGCCCTGCACTAACATCTGTTGCCTATCTTCCTCTTTTTCTTTTTTCTCCCCAAAGGCCCAGTACATAGGTGTACATCATAGTTGTAGAGTTGTAGCTCTTCTATGTGGGATGCCGCCTCAGCTGGCTTGATGAGCTGTGAGTAGGTCCTCGCCCAGGATCCGAACCGGCTAACCTCGGGCCGCCAAAGCAGAATGACTGAACTTAACTGCTACGCCACTGGGCCAGCCCCCTATAACTTTTCTTAAAAACATTTTATTATGGAAAAAACTTTAAAACTTCATCAAAGAAGAGAAAATTGTAAGGTGAACCCCATATTCTCATCACACTGATTCAACAAGTCTAACATTTTACCACACTTGATTTATCTATTCTTTTTTTAATTTTTGAAGCATTTTAAAGCAAATTCCAAACATCATGGAATTTTTTCCTTGAAAACTTTGGCATCAATCTCTGAAATATTAGGATATTTTCTTGCATAATAACATATTATAATCATACCTAATAAAATTGATAATAGTTATTTAAAGTCATCTAATATCTAGTTCCTATTCCAAGTTTCCCTGATTATCTCAAAAATATCTTTTTATACTTGGTTTGTTCAAACCAAGATCTAGGGCCGGCGCCATGGCTTAGTGGTTAAGTGCGCGCGCTCCGCTGCTGGCGGCCCAGGTTCGGATCCCGGGTGCGCACCGACACACCGCTTCTCTGGCCATGCTGAGGCCGCGTCCCACATATGGCAACTAGAAGGATGTGCAGCTATGACATACAACTATCTACTGGGGCTTTGGGGGAAAAAATAAATAAATAAATAAAATTAAAAAAAAAAAAACCCGAGATCTAAACATGTTTACATATTGAATTTTAGTATTATATCTCTTTTTTTTGTGTGTGAGGAAGATTGGCCCTGGGCTAACATCTGTGCCCATCTTCCTGTACTTTATATGAGATGCCGCCACAGCGTGGTTTGACAAGCAGTGCGTCAGTGCACGCCAAGGATCTGAACCTGTGAACCCTGGGCCACCGATGTGGAGTGCGTGCACCTAACCGCTACACCACCGGGCTGGCCCCTGTATTATATCTCTTAATTATTTTTTAATCTAAAGAGTCTCTGCTCCTCCCTGTCCCTCTTCTCCCCTCCAGAAACCAGCTCTATAACAATGTTACGCATTCTAGATTTATCTGCTTGCTTCCCCATGGGGTCCTTTACCACCATCCTCAATCTCCTATTTTTCCTGTAAACTGGAAATTAGAGGTAAAATCTTGATTATATTTAGGTACAGCCTTTTTGATAAGAAATAACATATAATATTTATCATTGAAAAAAGAATGTATCATTTAAACAACTTTTTAAAATATGTTCATTTCATAAAAGTAGAAAATTTAGATAAGTAAAAACAAGAAAAGATCTGTTATCTCATTACCTATAATACTTAAAATTTTGGGGTAGTGTCTTCTCAGTCTTGTTGGTACACAAAAGTTGGCTATCTTGATTTTTTTAAACTATTTTCATAAAGTATATTACAATTTGTATCCCTCTTTTTATTTTGTTTGCTATTATGTATATTACGTAATAGCTAGCCACGGTTTATCATTATATTGGAAAATTTATGTACCAAATGCACAGACCTTAAGAATACAAGTCAATGACTTTTTTTTTTTTTGCTGAGGAACATTTGTCTGAGCTAACATCTGTGCCAATCTTCCTCTTTTCGTATGTGAGCCACTGCCACAACATGGCCACTGACAGACAAGTAGTGCAGGTCCACGCCTAGGCACTGAACCCGGGCCACCAAAGCAGAGCATGCTGAACTTAGCCACTAGGCCACTGGGGCTGGCCCAACAAGTGAATGACTTTTGACAAATGTATATACATTGTGTAACCAACACCTCAATTAAGATAGAAAATGTTCCTGTCACCCTAGAAATTCCCTCATGCCCCTTTCTAGTCAAATTCCCCATGGACAATTTCTGTCTTGATTTCTATCATCATAAATTATTTCTTTCTGTTCTACAACTTCACATAAATTAAATCATACAATATGTATTATTTTTGTGTCTAGCTGGAGGTTTTTTTTTTTTTTTTGGCTGAGAAAGATTAGTCATCTGTTGCCAGTCTTCCTCGTTTTTTTTTTTTCTTGAAGAAGATTAGCCCTGAGCTAACATCTGTACCAATCTGCGTCTACATTATATGTGGTTGCCACCACAGCATGGCTGACAAGTGCTGTAGGTCCACACCTGGGATCCAAACCCACAAAACCAGGCTGCTGAAGCAGAACATGCAAAACTTAACCGCTACGCCACGAGGCCAGCCCCCAGCTGGAGTTTTTTAATGAGAAAATTATTGTGTTAATAATGTTGTATTTGTAATAGTGTACGTGGTTAGTACAAGAATATGGCAAGCTAAAAAAATATGAACCAAAATTTGCTAACTCAGAATTTTTAGTCAATTGTATTTTGGAATGCCCCTTTCTCAGATGATGTGGTGAGAATCAAGAGTAAATTTTACAGTTTGACATTTATGACCAGCTGTTACCCACTCTCACCCTGAATCGGTTTGAGCCTTGTCCATAAATATTCAGTAATATGATCACCAGCATAGTTGGTGAAATGTAATATGGTGGAATGTAAAATGTGGCCATAAATTTCTCACTGTTGTCAGTGTGTTAATAAAATAAACCCTGTAATAAAGAGCAAGAGGCGTTAATAAAGATGCCAACCCAAAGAGATTTCAAGTACCTGTAACTTGAAATAAATAGTTGATACTTATGTATCTAAAATATATACAAGTTTGGGTATAATGTGAGACATTGTATAAATGTCTGCATAAAGACTGCATAAAGACCAAGTTACAAGCATATCAGCGGAAAGAAAATTTTGTGATTCTTAGGAAGATTAGTGAAGATGAGCACGTTGTTGAAAAGCAGAATCTACTAAGAAAAAATAAAATGAAATAGAAATATTAAATCCAGTGAAGGAAAAGTATAACAGTGAGATTCTGCATCCCTTCATCATCAAAGGATTAATAACAAGATTTGAACTGTAGTGTGAAAGACTTGAGCTACCCAAAATGGAGAACTTTGGCAGCGAGTATTAAGTATGAAAATAGTATACTCTTTTTGAGAGGATCTCAATGTTTAAAGAATGATCAGAAAAGTCCTGTGTTAAGAGGGATAGATTAGATCCTTCGCAAGGCTCACTCTTCTAATAATACACCAAAAGAAAAAGAAAGGAAAATCTGAGAAACAATATTATCTAATGTTTTGCTTAGTTATATCAGTTCCAGATTCCAGTTATTGCTTAATATAGTTAAGTACACACACACACACACACACACACACACACACCAGTCCTGCCAAGGAAACGAAAGTGTGCGATCTATCTTACATCTGGTAGACTAGGGGTTGCTATGACAACAGAGTGTAATATATATACTTTTTTTTCTAATTCTAAAATGGCATCTCTTCTCTGTTTAGCTCAAAGCACTCTGAAAAATAAGACACATTAATGTAATTACTAGAAAGAGATTTCCCAAAAAAGAAAAATTTACCCCAAACCTCTCTCTTTTATACTTCCTTTTCTTCTCCCTCTTTTCCACTTAAAAAAAAATCATCCACAAAACAATGATCAACTCTGAGACAAAGACGTAATGCTTAATGCTTAAACCAGAATAGTAACCCAAAGCCAACCAGCAAAACCACTTCTGTCGATGTCATGGGGAACCTGCAGTGATCTTTTAATTCTTTGCATGGAGAGCAGTTGTAAAGTCAAATGGACGTTAAAGTTTCCTTTGACTACTGTATCTATTAGCTTTGACTTCCCCCCTAGAATAGGTAACAGGATCCCTTTAATAAGCAAATCTATCATAGAAAAACAATTTACAGTGCTAAATAATTATTTGTGCTGAATAAGAAATTATTACTGGTTTCAATTTTTATCTTTTCATTGTCATTTATTTTAAAAATCAGAATATCTTCATGGAGGAAATTGTCCTGGTAAATACTTGATACTTATTCTCAACCCTGAAACGAATAATAAATGACAGTGCATGCGTTGACCTTTGGCCCCATTCACAAAGCTAAGTCATGCTGCTGAGGACCCAATATACACCTAAGGTCCAGACAGACTTGAAAGAAGACAGGGAAAAGAAAAAGAAAGGTAACAGCAGGGAGGTAAGATGAAAGAAAGAGAATAAACAGAAGGAAATGGCGGCAAGTGATAGGTGCCCTGATAGTAGTAGACAGTCATTTCCAGAGTAAAAACTGAGCTAGAAAAAAAAAAAAAAACAGTTGAGTGCGATCAGAAAAACATTTACTGATTTTTTTGCCCTAAGAATGTGATTGTGAAGCATGGTCTCAATGTTACCAGGTTAAATGCCTACTCTAAATTTGTCAGATTAGGCATACTTACTTTAGTAGAGTCTTGTAGCAACGAAATTCCATTAATGGTGATTAGGTATTCACGTTGATAAAATTATCTTCTCAGTAAATCTTTGCTAACAAGGCTGTGACCTATTTGATAATTAGCTACTGTAATGTATTTTTCATGTAGTTAGTCACAACCTTGTCACCAGGAATGAACCTGCCTTCTGCAGGAAAATGAACTCAGCGACCTGCCTCATCTTTCCTGTGCCTCATCTTTCTGATTCACTCATCTGCACAACAATAAAGCCTACTGTATTGTGAGCAGGTATCAGAAAATCTATTTAAAATTTAAAAGGTGTATGATATTCTAGTCCAAAGAGAAGGGGATGACTGCTCTTTTGCTTTATCCTTTATCACCTTGAATAATGTCATGTACTCTTTTGCTCCTTTCAAGTTGTTAATATCACAACTTGTATTGTCCAAATAAAGATTTATAATTTAAATAGGAAAATCATTGATTTATTTGTGTTTATTTTTTTCAAGACCAAAATATGCATTGCTGGATGAATGTACCAGTGCTGTCAGCATTGATGTTGAAGGAAAGATATTTCAGGCTGCAAAAGGGGCCGGAATTTCCTTACTGTCTATAACACACAGGCCTTCTCTTTGGTAAGTGTTCCCAATGCTAATTTGCGATAGATGGTTTTTCTTTATATTTCTTAAAGAATAACTTTGCTAAACTTTTCACTATAGAGCATGGGAGGTTTCATTTATTCTCTAGTTGTACTTTTGTTAAATTGCACACTAGTAGTTTAGATACCCCAAACTTAACATAACATTAATGTGCTATTTGAAAACTATCATCACATTCCAATAATTCTGAAAAGTAGTAAAATCCAGTGATTTTTTTAACTGAAAATATTCATGTTTCCATAGCGTGTCCTAGGAAAAATATTTTCCTGGGAAAAATACATTTATATAGTTTTACGTCATCTTTTTAGTCCTTTCTTCCAAATCCAGAAAAAAAATACCACAACTTGATATTTCTCCAAATGATTAAGGTGGAGAAAACACAGAAAAAAATGCTTTTTTGGGTTTTGTTTTAAGGAAAAATGAACAAAAATGTTTTATAAATAATATCTCATAAAACTATGTGGGATTTCCCCTTTTTAAAAAACAATGAAACCATTTTTACCATTCCTCTAACTTTTCCATTGACTCATCATTTTCATAATAGTTGCTAATGCAGATTCAGCACCTATTCTGTCCAGGCTCATTTTACTCAAGCCTCCTAACAACCCTATAGGGTATAGGTAGTCTAATTTTTCCCATTTTACAGATGAAGAAATGGAGAACTAGCGAAATGGGAAAGGTAACTTACCATGATCACACCCTCTATACAATAGTATACAGCTCTACTTTTATAAGGAACTCAAAACGTACCTCATGCATAAACCATAAAAACACTTTTTCATTCACACTACATTCCACTGTCTACTTTTGCATTTCTGTTTCATCAATCAAAATCTTTTCTTTTAACATATTAGTAACTGCAGTGGACTCTATATGCTTTGACCTCCTATTTCCCAAGGGACGGGCAGGACTCCTCTGTCTCTGGCTGGAGCATTCTGTAGCAGGTGGCTGATCACATTCTATGCCAAAGCTGTCATCACGTACCTAGCTTCAAACCTAGACTAAGTGGCAAGCTTTATTTGAGTTAATCCTTGAAGCCCTTCTAGATATTTCACCTTATAGAGAATGTTTACTTTAAAATTGTGAGTAGGGGGCTGGCCCCGTGGCTTAGCGGTTAAGTGCACGTGCTCCGCTACTGGCGGCCTGGGGTTCGGATCCCCGGCGCGCACTGACACACCACTTCTCCGGCCATGCTGAGGCCGCGTCCCACATACAGCAACTAGAAGGATGTGCGACCATGACATACGACTATCTACTGGGGCTTTGGGGAAAAAAAGGAGGAGAATTGGCAATGGATGTTAGCTCAGAGCCGGTCTTCCTCAGCAAAAAGAGGAGGATTAGCATGGATGTTAGCTCAGGGCTGATCTTCCTCGAAAAAATAAATAAATAAATAAAAATAAAGAGAATGCTTTTAAAAAAATAAATAAAATAAAATATAATTGTGAGTAAACTGAGTATTCAGTTCAGATCAGGTTTTTATTGTTCCAAGTTCTTTGACTCCGAATTCTACTTCTATTGAGAAGATAATAATCTATTTTCATACTTTATTTAAACATTCAGATTTTTTGTAATTTTTTTTTCCCCAGAGAGTTGACCTGAAAATAGAGCATTTCATTAAGTGATCCTTTCTATGGAACTTTGTGGTTTGTCTCTCAGTCGTTAAGAATTAATTGGCATCTGGAGTGAAAGAACCCTGATTTGCTAATCTCCCCAGAGGCAATCTGGATCTAGTCCAGGATGAGTTAGAGTCCATGTCAATGAGTGAGTCCTCTGACTTTTTCCTGGAGAGAACCAGTAGGAACTGGATCTTTAAGATAATTAAGACGTTTGCCTGTATATCCTCTGAATCAGGGATGACATAGAACCAGGCCAGCAGAACTCTTGAGCTGTTTCTGGTATGGACTTGTCATTTCCGGATATGCGTCCTCATTGACCACATGTTCAGATAACATGGAGTTCTCTCTTAGTCCTGGTGTTTTTCTAACCTCTATCAATGGATTTATTATGCTATCCTGTCATTCAGTTCCTTATTCAAGTAGCCTAAAGAGGCATTGGAAGCATGTTCAGCCATTTTTTTGTCAGTTGAAGGAACAAATAGGTTTCTGTTGTTGTTGTTGTTTTTAAGACTTTAGTTTTTTAGAGCAGTTTGAGGTTCATAGCAATAATGAGAGGAAGGTAGAGAAATATCCCATAACCTCTCTGTCCCCACACATGCATCACCTCCCCCATTATCAACATCCCCCACCAGAGTGGTACATTTGTTACAATTCATGACCCTATATTGACACATCATTATCACCCAAAGTCCATAGTTTACATTAGGATTCACTTTTTGTTGTACATTCTATGGGTTTGGACAAATTTATAATTACGTATCCACCATTATTGTATCGTACGGAGTATTTTCACTGCTCTAAAAGTCCTCTGTGTGCTGCCTATTCATCCCTCTCTTCCCCCAACCACTAGACACCACTGATCTTTAATGTCTCCATAGTTTTGCCTGTTCCAGAACATCATATAGCGAGAATCATACAGTATGTAGCTTTTTCCAATTGGCTTTTTTCACTTAGTATATTCATTTAAGTTTCCTCCATGTTTTTTCATGACTTGATAGCTCCTTTCTTTTTAGCACTGAATAATATTCCATTGTTTGGATGCACACAGTTTATTTATCCATTCACCTACTGAAGGACATCTTGGTTGCTACCAAGTTTTGGCAATTATGAATAAAGCTGCTATAAACATTCATATGCAGGTTTTTGTGTGGATATGAGTTTTCTCAACTCATTTGGGTAAATATTAAGGAGTGCAATTGCTAGATGTTATGGTAAGAGTATATTCAGTTTTGTAAGAAACTGCAAAACTGTCAAAGTGGCTGCACCATTTTGCATTCCCACCAGCAATGGTTTAAAGTCCCTGTTGCTCCACAGCCTCACCGGCATTTGGTGTTGTCAGTGTTCTGGATTTTGGCTATTCTAATAGGTGTACAGTGGACAAGTAATTTTTTAAGCAAATAACAAAATCCGTAATTTTATACCTTTTTACAAGAAAAATGTTTTTAATTGCAGCTACCTACAGTACATTTCCCCATAAAACTAAAAATTATGTTAGTTCTGCTTTATGAAGTAGTTTAACAATTTTATGTTGTAGAAATCTATCATTTCTGATTATTCTTTTCCTCTAGACAAAATTTTTAATTTCCCTGAAAAGATTTCAGAAGAGAGAATGGATGTATTATATTTTTCACCATAACAACAAATGGGTAATTGTTGGTTGTAGAGATTAAAATCAATACCAGTATCTGAAGAGGTCAAAAATTATAGAAGCTTATTAAATTATTTGATTCCTGGGTAGAATTATAGCTCTGTAATTACCACTTTCCTATGCTTTATCTTATTTGCACAGGAAGTCTGCAGATTATTTTCAGTGAGCCTCAGTTAGTATAGTAGTTTCTTTTAAATTCCTCTGACTAAAGTAAACCCTGAAATATTATTTTAGCCCATGATATAGAACACACCTTTGAATCTCAGGTCGTGAAACAGTTTCTTCCTCCCACGTGGAAGTCAAATAATGTTGTAGGACTGGAGTGATGAGCCAGACTTTCATTATACATTAAAGGTGGAAGTTGCCCAAGATCTGAACTACCACATTCTAAAGTTGCTCATGCTTGTAGACCCAAGACTAGGAAAGCCCAAGAAAAGTTGAGAATGAAATAAACAAAATGATTTTTTTTAACCATTATTTCTCTTTGTCATACAACCATCTTTCTTTTGTTTTCCCATTACTTGTGTTTTAACTCTCATATTTTAATAGCAGTATTTGCACATTTTTATTTTTTCCCTTGACATAGAAATACATCGTTTTCAATTTAATTTTCATAAGGTCTCACCTGTTGGGAAATCGAATTTTTGGAAAACTCCAGAACCTAAACATAGTAGATACTCAAAAGTATATGGAAAAGATTATTAATCTCTGTCATATGTTATCAGACATATGAACTTCAACCATCAGCTTCAGATTGATTTTAGTGTTTTAGACATGGTTTAACCTAGCTTAGTTTTCTCATTTTACAGCATGTTAAAACTGTTCAATCAAAATGGGATGAAATCCAAATGTCCATCAATTGATGAATAGGTAAACAAAATGTGCAATACCATACAATGGTGTATTATTCAGCCATAAAAACAAATGACATACTAATACATGCTACAACTAGATGAACTTAGAAATCATTCTGTTAAGTGAAAGCAGTCAGTCACAAAAAGCCACATATTGTATGATTCCATGTATATGAAACATCCAGGATAGACAAATCCATAGAGACAGAAAGGAGATTGGTGGTTGGCAGGAGCTGAGCAGAAGGGGAAATGGGGAGGGACTGCTAATGTATGGGGTTCCTTTTGGGGGCGAAGAAAATATTCTGGAATTGGATAGTGGTGATGGTTGTATGAGCTCATGAATATACTAAAAATCACTGAATTTTACACATTAAAAGGATCAATTTATGGTATGTGAATCATATCTCAATTTTAAAAAAAGGAGGTAAAAGCTACTTGAAATAAGCCCACTGATCATAGTAAAGAGTGACAGATGAGAGCTTAAAAGAAAACAAGAAGTGAGGAACACTATAAGGGAAAGACAGAGAATCTGAGGACACATAAGAACATAGGCCACTTCAACATGGTGACAAAACGCAGTGGCTCAGTCATGCAAGGCCAGCTCTGACAGCGTTACTCTCTCCACACATCCCCCACAAATCCCAGAGCCTGGGGACCTGAGCCTCCCTTTAGGAGAAGATGGATTGTCTCTTGTATCATCAATAAAATCATCTCTATGGGGCCAGCCCAGTGGCGTAGTGGTTAAGTTTGGCATGCTCTGCTTCAGCGGCCCAGGGTTCACAAGTTCAGATCCCAGGCACAGATCTACACCATTCATCAAGCCATCCTGTCGCAGCAACGCACATACAAAATAGAGAAAGCTTGCCATGGATTGCCCAGGGCCACTCTTCCTCAAGCAAAAATAGGAAGATTGGCAACAGATGTTAGCTCAGGGCCAATCTTCCTCACCAAAAATAGATAAATAAATAAAAAGAAGATAAAATCATCTCTATACCTCTCTGAAGTTCCTAATTATGAACCTGAGCCATGAGAAAGGAGATTAAATTATATGGTGGCATGGAAGTATCTCTAAAAGATTTCTCTCAAAGAACTCATTTTTAAAAAATGTTTTAAAACTTTATTAAGGGCCGGCCCTGTGGCTTGGTGGTTAAGTGCGCGCGCTGCGATGCTGGCGGCCCGGGTTCGGATCCCGGGTGCGCATCGAGGCACCACTTCTCCGTTCATCCTGAGGCCGAGTCCCACATACAGCAACTAGAAGGATGTGCAGCTATGACATACAACTATCCACTGGGGCTTTGGGGGGAAAAAATAAAATAAATAAAATCTTTAAAACTTTATTAAGAAATTTTTACTTATGTAGAATAACTCATTTTCAAAGGATGGTGTATTAATGAATTGGTATTCTATTTTCTTTATTTTTCTTAGTTTTTCTGTATAACCTTTAAAATTTTTACTTTCTTCTCTCAACTTCCTTTCAGTATTCTCATTCTAAGTGTGCTTTGATATTTATTCAGGAGCCATACTAGGTTATGAAGATAAATTAAACAGATGCAACAGCATGTCTTCCTTTGCAAATCATATATATTCAGAATGTGAAATGAATTTAATATAAGCAATAGTAGAGATTAATGACTTTTGGAGTGAAAAAAAAATCACAATATTTGACCTTTGGGGCATTCTTGAAAATAAAATGTAAAATAGGCACCTTACTTAAAATTTGTCTTTGAATATCAATTAGAATGATCAATCTATAACTAAAATGGCTTTTCCCAATTATTGCTAATAATATTATTTCATTTTAATTATGCAGGAAATACCACACTCATTTATTACAGTTTGATGGTGAAGGAGGTTGGCGCTTTGAACAATTGGATACTGCTATCCGTTTAACACTGAGTGAAGAAAAACAAAAGCTAGAATCTCAGCTAGCTGGGATTCCCAAAATGCAGCAAAGACTCAATGAACTATGTAAAATTTTGGGAGAAGACTCTGTGCTGAAAACAATCAAAAATGAAGATGAGACATACTAATTTGTTTTGACATATTTTAAAAGTTAATTTTTAGGTAAAGGCTCAGAGACGCTCTGTTATAGTGCATGCATTGTGTTAAGCTAAGCACAGAGAAAAAAAGGCAGCAAGAAATGTTTTATGAGATTTTAGCGTCAAGGAAATATATGGTCTGTCAGAAAAAAATAAACAAAATGCGCTATGTAAGATTAGTCATTATGGCTTATACTAATTCCTAGTGAAAGCCTAATTCACCTGTAAAACAGGATTTTCTAGGTGAATTCATGATGAATACCAGATTTACTATGTGTATGTGATGTGCCTAAAGTACTTAACAAACATGGGAGATATCTTGAGAATGGAACAACTGAGGAGCAGCATTTTAGTTGAAACCAGGTACAGAGAACTAGAAGTTTGAGTAACATTTCAGTCCATTTATGGTTATTAGGTTTAATAGCTAGAATTCATGTTCATCATTGTTAGTGGTCACCTAACCTGTATACAAAATAGCTGAGAGTTTGATAAATAATTTCAATATGAAAAAAATTCTTTTAATGGCAGTGGTTGAAAGAAAGAAGCATGGCTATACATGTATAAAATGCCATATTTTTTTAATTTTAGATTTTGAGCATCTTAATTTGGGTATATAAATTAGCTTTATGAGAATCTTACATATTTGTTCACAAGCTCTTTCATTTTAAAAAGAGAATTGCCAATATAGAAAAGGAGTATCCAAACAATGTTTGTCTCAGCTTTACTTTACTTGGAAGCATTATCTATTGCAACTTTTGTCCAGAAATACTCGGCTTGTTTTTGTGCTCCAAGGAGGAGTCCACCACCTTTTTAAAATAGCAGTGCTATAACAGAATACAGGGATTCTCAAAATCACAGTAGTAATATCATACATTGGAATAAGACTTTATAATTTCAAATCCTCATTTACATCATTTCATTTTAATCCTTGTGACAATCTTTTGAGGTAGATATTATTTTTCTAGCTTGTTTTTGAGAAAATATACACTCAGACTTGCCCTAATTATGCAGTTTATTTAGGGACAGATCCAGGGATCAAATGAAGTTCCCCTGATTCCCTGGTTCAGTGCTATTTCCACTATCATCCTTGAAATCTAACTGGGCTATAATATCAATAAAAGTTAGATGAGCTGTTGAAAAGAAAATAAATTTGGTAATGTTAGTGTTATAGTTATTTGGTTATCGTTTGCAAGATATAGAAATTAAGTACAAAGTGGAAAGGCCATTGGTCTGTGGTTTAAAATTAGCCAAGAAAGTTAGCAAATCTTTCAGCAAGTCTACGCTTGTACTCAATATAAATATACCTCTACAGCCAGCAATGAAAAGGGGAATTAATTGTTATAGGTAAATTTAATATTTATTGAACATAATAAGAAAGAATCTGTATGGAATAGTTTTAGGAAATAAATCTTATCTCTTTATGTGCCCTGAAGCTGGAAGTACAATAGCCAGGACTGGCATTTTAATCTCCTACTGCCTATGCTACCATGTTGATAGGCCAGGAAAAATGGGAATGATCAATTAATGATTTAGGATTTTATTTGCATTATTAGACACAGCCATAATGGATGCTAAGTCAGTGATTCTCAGACTTTTTCAGGTAGTAGAGTACCTGGAAGTCATTCATGACGACTGGAATAGAACATCATGACATTTTCACCTTTTCAATTCTGCCATGCTAACGAGGACATTTTTAATCATCAATAAATGTAACCATCTTACATGAAGGAATGCAATATAAAATGATAATCAGTACATATGTCTAAGTTTTTCTGTTAGTATCATTAGCTACTCATTTATTCATTTGTCAGTTACCACTACTTCCTATTAGAAAAGTGAGGCAGGTATCAAAGGTTAAAAAAAAATGCATGGAACCAAAACTTAAACTTGATAAAAATTATCCATTAATCTTAACTTCTATATTAGCAGCTTTCCAGTTTATACTGCTCTAGGGAAAACTCTGAGGCAAGTGTCTTAAGTTAACTTTTAAAGATGCAGGAAGAAAATGAAAAGTCCTCATTTGTAACATGTGCATAATTTTCATAATTTGAAAAATAAAGCATTTAGGACCCAATATATTGTATTTTGAAACTTTAAAGGAATGCCAAAACAAATATTAGATTTGTAATTAGCCCTCACTTAATATGTCCTAAGAATGAGCTGAAGTAAATAAGACTTACTATTTATAATGTATAGGAGTCAGGGACATTTAAAATTATGTACTAAAAGCTATACACACTGCAATTTAAATGTAAAGAGGTCTAAGAAGAACATGTTTTCCATGAGCCTTTATGTGCCTACTTATTTGCTGAATTTTATTCCAGGACCAATGTCCTCTAACTTGGAGGGGAAAAAAATTTGGGCTTTGAATTTGTGTTTATGTTCCATTTAACTGTTTTCAAAATGGTCCAATGAGTATACCATATTTTACTATTCTTATAGTTGTATTTTATGAAAAACATGAACAAGATTGAGAAACCAAATAGCTATCTTTGAATATAGCAAGAAATAGACAAGGAAAGGAAAGAGAAAGGATATTTCAATTTTCAAACAGCTTTTACCATGTTATCTATTTGCCCAAACTTTTGGCTTCTGTTTTTTGGGGTTTTGTTTTTGTTTTTTTTTTTTTTTTGGTCAAAGAAAGCTAGAAGTTTATGGAGCTTGATTTTTAAATGTGCATTTTTTAATTAACTTTTAAACTTTGAAAATAAGTTGCGTTCTATGAAAATGTTGCATTATGTTTCTACAGCATGTAGTGTTATGCCAAGCATGAGTCTAAAATAGTGTGTGTTCTTGTAAACAAGATAACGTGTAAAAATCTCTCTCCAGTAATTTCAAGGAGAATGATATATCTTGAAATTCAACCCAAGTTTACATGTGTCTACAATGGGAATGGTTTTCCCTTAATAGTAATTTGGTGTTCGTGTCAAATTTTCTCTGCCAGTAAAGGTATAAAAGACATGTTAGTTTTTCATTTGAGACTTTGGCTCCACGTATAATTTCATATTTGGCAATAGGGTTAGCCTATTAAAATCTGTTTGGAATAGTTATTTGATTCCATAAACCTAGAAAAATTCATTACACACTGGAACCCAAATCCAGAGAATGTTACACACTTCTGAGATGTGCAGAAAATGGTAATGATTATTAAGCCATTGATTAAAAGAGATGCCTTTAATATAATTACTTTATAGGCACAAATTATTCTCATTTAGAAGTGTAAAGTACTTTCGCATAACCAAGCGTGTTTATAGTTCTGCTGATATACATTTAGATATATACTTGTAATGTTTGCCATATGAGAACTTTCAAGTGGATGTATAAAATATTTTCATTAAAAGCAAATCCCTTCTTCATTTTTTGTGCCTTTCCTGATTACCAAGTACAGAACTGCTTTACAGTTTTTATTGTGAAATTTTCAAAACGAATTATCTACACGTATGAGCAGGGTTTGTGTTAATGAAAGCAAATGAGAAAAATGTCCTTAATAGTAAAAATCACTGTGTAGCTAAGCTAGAATGTAGCCATGTGTGAATACACTATAATGTCGTCTCCATTCAGTGTGTGGTTGCTGGGCTCAGCATTCCTTGTGAATCCCTTAATCATCATGAAAAAAACTTCATTAATCAAAGGAATTACAAGTTATTCCTGTGGTAGAAAATGCCTTATTTCTATATTTTAAATGACTCTGTTGGATATATGTCTACATACACCTCAGTTATAAGTTGTTTGGTGCACAACCTTGTGGAGTACTATGCACAATAGTCACCAAATAGTTGCTTAAATATTTATTTTCTTTATTAGTTCAACACACTTATTTTATTAAGTACTAACCTATGCCATGCATTGTGCCAGGTTCTAGGAATAAATAAAATATGGTCCTGTCCCAAGAAGCTTATAGGCCATTGAAAATTAGGAAAATGAGTACCCTTAGACAAAAAGTCAATAGCTGCTATTTATTATTTACCAAGTAGGCACAAAGCATTGCATATACATTGACTCATTAAATCTTCACAAAACTCTAATTTAATAAAAGGAAAGTGAGGACAGAAAGGTTAAGTAATTCATCCAACCTCATACAGCTACTAAACTATAGAGCTGAAATTTGAACCTAGCGATATTTGATTACAAAGCCTATTCAACTCCCCACCACCTTCCTTTTAATTAGTTTAGGTCATTTTTCAATATTACTGTTTTTAACTCTAAAGCTGTAAGTATATAAACTGGCTCAAGGTTTCTGGTTAACCAAACAGATGCATTGTTTCCATCTAAAAAGGAAATTTCTCATACAAATTATATTTTTCATTGTTTTTATTATAAATGATGGAGGTGGTCCTGTGGGAGGAGAACAAAAGGCAAATTTTCAAATGTTTTGAGGAAGAAATATCCAAACTGCTTAACATTCATTGGTTTGGTAAATATTTATTGACACATTCAGTGTACCAGTTATTGTGCTAGGGATTCAGAAGTGAACAAGACAGACCTGGTCTCAGCCCTCATGAAACATTTTAGTATATCAATACTGAACAGTTGTATACCTGTTAGATGTGGTCCCATCTAAATGGCATATTTGTTTTATAGTATCTTTTCAATTCTTATATTTCCTAAGACCACTGTTGCCACATTTAAGCAATAAGTATTTTCTGGCAGCACGATTCCTTTGATTATACACTTAAGGGCTTCACACTCCTCATGCCTTCCAACTTGGTCTAAGTTACAAGGTCCAATAAAACCAGTCTCTAGGACTATAACATCCTTCACCAGTAGGTGCTCCCATACATTTAGCATGTGGTCTTGAAACCTGAGAAACAGTAGCTTCTCAAGTTTAGATCATGTAAAGTGAGCCAGTTTTGTACAATGAAAAGTATCTCTCTCGTCTTAATACAAAATGAGATAGCTATAGCAAGAAAGTTCTAAAAAGCAAAAAAAAAAAAAAAAATCAATAATTATAAAAGTGAATACACAAGACTTCTGGCATTAAACATATTTAAAATTATGTGCTCTATCTCAATACTTGTGACCCAAAGTAGAAGATATGGTGATTAAGTATTCACCTTACATGTTTTTATGTGATTTACTATCT